TGTGTGTGCAAGGGGAGGGGGGAAAGCAAGCTCCCCCCCCTTCTCCTCCATTGCCTGCTATAGCTCTTCCCAAAGGGGGTTATGAGTCCCTGAAGCACAGTGCCTCCTGCTGGTCCCGCCGGAGTAGTGCAGCGCTGCACCATGGCCAGTGAGGGGCAGCCTTCACAATGCCATACAATTCAACAGCTCGCTCCTGAACCCAGCCAGGGGCTGAGGGAGAGCCTTGCGCCGAGGAAATGCCCACACCAGGGGCTGTGCGTGTGGAGGGGGTGTGAGCCGCGCTCCTCCGAACGATAGACTTGTAGGTAAGAGAGAATGAGTCAGCCTGGGGGCAGGTCCCCGCTGCACCGCAACTGCCCTGGGTGACCCCGAGCAGATCATTGGATCTCTCTGGGCTTCATCTGGGAAGTGGGGATAACCAGGCCTCCCTTTGCCTGTTGGCTGCTTGGGGCAGGTGTGGACAGCTATGGGTCCATACAGCACCTGCGAGGCCCTGATCTCAGCGCTACCAGGACCCAAATAATTCCAGAGGCATCAGGTCTTCGGCAAGGATCTTTTGCTGCCCACGGGTGTCTTCCTCCATTTCACCCAGAATAGCCTGTGTCACCACTTGACCTTACGAAGCAAAGGTGCCTCGGGGGGAGGATATCTGGGTTTCCCACCCCACCTCCCTTTTTTCTGTCATGTTTTCCCCAGCACCTGCTTCGAACGCCCTGGAGAACCAAGTTGGTCTGGTCTGTATCTGCTCCCTGCCTTAGCGAGGCTCAAAGCCGGGGTGGGGAGAGACTGAGAGGCAGGAGGGGGAGCGAGAGGATGACAGGGAAGGGGGGAGCGAGGCGTGGGAGGGGTAGACGCGTGGGCTGAGCGTGTGTGACAGGTGTAGAGAGAGCCATCTCCTTGACTCCCAGACTCCTGTACATGCTGCTGTCATTCCATGCAAACACCCCCACCTCCACATGCTTCCCCTGCTCTGGAAAGCAGTGAGACACCCTGAGACAGTCAGAGGTGAGAGGAGGAATGCCTCAGAGCCATGGGGAGAGGGGGCGGAGATGCCATCATGCTGTGTAGCCACCTCCCGCTGGACACTGCTGAGAAATCAGAGCCCCTGGCCTGGGTGGACCATGCTCCCCCTGCCCCGACAGACAGCTGGCCGGTCTCTGTCACGCTTGGCAACACCCGTCATGCCCAGAAAGTCTCCTCGAATTGAACGGAGAGCGATAGGGATGGGAACGGCATGAGAGGGGGAGATTTGAGGCATCCTAACAGCAAGCTGAGGTGGTTACGTACCCCCAGGGGAAAGCATATACCAGCCCCACGCCCAGGACTCGGGCCAGCCTGAACCCGCTGTTGTCTGGGCTGTGTCACTTCCCTACACTCTGCCTCTTGGTCTGTAGCTCAGAGCCCCGGCCAGCCAGGTACTCAGTATCCCCAATCCCTAGCAAATCACCAGGGGCGGAAGACCCCGGGCACCCTGCCGGCGCCTCCCAGTGCTGTAAATTCGTAAGCTCCTGAGGGCGGGGGTCTTGGCATTGTGGGCAACCCATCCTTAGTGAAGAGGGCAGCCCCACTGACATCAGTAATAACTCACGCGAGGACGGGTTTGCAGGATCATGTCTACACAGCACCTTAAGACTATAACAGGGTTCAAAAAGCACTAGATAGATTCATGGAGGATGAATGCCTATTAGCCAGGATGGGCAGGGATGGTGTCCCTTGCCCAGGGGTACGCAACCTATGGCACGCATGCCGAAGGCGGCACGCGAGCTGATTTTCAGTGGCACTCACACCGCCCGGGTCCTGGCCACCTGTCCAGGGGAGCTCTGCATTTTAATTTAATTTTAAATGAAGCTTCTTAAACATTTTAAAAACCTTATTTACTTTACATACAACAATAGTTTAGTTCTATATTATAGACTTATAGAAAGAGACCTTCTAAAAACGTTAACGTGTATGACTGGCACGTGAAGCAGGCTTAGTGCCTTCGCTGGAGTGTGGCACTCACTGGGGTTAAGGGCAGTTCATGCAGCGCTGCTGGACCGGCTGGCGCCGGGTGCCCTGTGACATGGGCGGAGGGCTAACCCAACCAGGGTCTGACGGAGACACTGGTGCGACATTCATTGCCAAGGTGCCAGTGCTGTGTGCGGTACGAGACTGAGAGCTCTGGAGAGATGGACTGGAGCTCCCCCGGAGATCAGGCATCTCCCCCTTTTCTCTCAGCCTCAGCATGTTCCCCAACCTCCATGTATCAGGAAACCACCATCCACTGCCCCCTCTCCGCACAAACACACCCACCAGCTCTGGATTTGTTTCCCTTCCGCCAATGGCGCCAAATCCTCCTCCCTAAACCTGCCTAGGCGGGCTGGCAGGGGGCAGAGTGCTAGGGTGGGTCACAGTACAGGGCGCTGGGGCCTGTCCCGGCACAGAGAGCGGGGGCATGCCACAGGATGCTGCAGCGTGCCCTGAGTCAGGGTACCGGGGTTGTGCCAAGGTGCAGGATGCAAGGGCATGCCAAGGTGCAGAATGTTGGGGCATACCATGGCTTTGGCTGCTAGGGTATCCCAAGGCAGGGGGGAGGGATAGCTCAGTGGTTTGCGCATTGGCTTGCTAAACCTGGGGTTGTGGGTTCAATCCTTAAGGGGGCCATTTATGGTTCAGGGGCAAAAATCTGTCTGGGGCTTGGTCCTGCTTTGAGCAGGGGGGTTGGACTAGATGACCTCTTGAGGTCCCTTTCAACCCTGATATTCTGTGCCAGGGTGTACCATGGTACCAGATGTTGGACTGAGCTTCAGCTCAATGCACTGGAACCTGTCCCAGTACAGGATCCCCCACAGGATGTAGCCAGGGTCACATTCAGACTTGATTCAAGAGAGTGAAACTCCCTCGACAGTCAGCAGCACTACCCCTGCCAACACCAGCTCTCAATCTGCTTCAAACCATGACAAAGTGCCTCTTTTTCTCCATATTTGGGGCATCCGGTGCACAGCACAGACTTTGTTCCCTTTTTCTTCCCTCTCTTTTCTCGCCAATATGTTTGCACGTTGCCTGTGCCGTTTAGAGCAGCTAAAATTATCTCACCGAAGCATCTCCGTTGTCTTCCTTTGTTGTTCTTTTCTTTCTAGCTCTTTCCCGCTGGGCAGCTGGAGCCTGTCCCGGTACTTTAAAGAAAAACAATCATGCAACTCAGTTAGGTCTTTAGGAACATAGAAGGAGAGGATGATATGATGAAACCAAAAACACCCAAAGCGTTTTGTGCAGCCTTCAATCACACGATGCGTCCTGCCCACTTGAGCCTAGTGGACAACCTTTACTAAGTGCTTCAGAAGAAGGTCTCCTTGCTACCCCATCAGCCCCCCAAAATCCCTGCTAATCTGCAGTGGAAGGAAAAATTCTCCCCTGCATCTAATCTGGCAGCTGCTGCATCCCTGTGCATGACAGCATGAATCACCATTGTAAAGTAACAGAATCCATTTATACATCGAGCTACTGTTAGTGTCCAAGCAATTATCCTCGTTATTCTTTAATCCTGATCCCTATTGTGACGCTGGCAGACCAGGTGCCAGCTCATGCCAAGGCCCCCTAGGCCTCACGGAACAGTGACAAATGCACAGCTGGAAACCAGCCCGGTTCCCCTGTGTGTTAGCATTGTTCAACTAGGTGTTACATTGATCAGAATAGGTACAGTGTTTAGAGCTGATGAAATGCTTGGAGGATGTTGCCTGCCTTGATCTCACTTACAGCTTCTATAGCCCACAGTATAAAGTTATGTAGAGCATTTGCGTTTTAAAGCTCTTTTGAAATTGTGTAATTCACCAGACAGGAAAGCTGCATTCATCAATGTAAGTGCTGGTCTTGAAGGCCCATTGAACGCAAATGAGTCATTGTGAAACATCAAAGGACAACGATTTCACTGATTTCCTACCCCGCCCCACCACACCCAGGGCCGGCTCCAGCATTTCTGCCGCCCCAAGCAAAAAAAAAAAAAAGCCGCGATCGGGGGGGGGCGTTCAGGGGCGGGGGCTTTCCTCCCTAGGGGGGGGGGGGGGCCGCCGCCCCCCCCCCCCCC